CTTTGTAATAAATACATGAATAAAGCACAGTCATACTCAGTTTTGCCCCCGCTGTATTTTTAAATACGCAGTAGAGGTATTTAAAGGTAGTAGAGGACATGTACCTATATATAAAAAACGCGCCCTATAGTATGTGTGTGTTAAATACAGAAATGGCACACATAACTGAGACTGCGCCTTTTAGTACGGTGCGCCTTATGGTCGTGAAAATACGGTAATATATGCATAATTATATGCATATGTATAATAAATATGCAGCTGTGGACATTTTTGCAATATATATATATATATACATACTAGAATTTTTTTTTTTTGTGGTTTCTTTACTAAATAGTTCAAAGAAAGAAAAATTTGTAAACCTGAAAACCATCTAGCCTGGGTGCCATTCTGAACTTAGTCCCGCCCACAACGTTTGAGGTCGGGAAATTCGGTCTGGCATTGTTCAATAGTAGCGCGAGTATGTTAGCACAATATCTGGTGGGCCAATCAAATTGTCAGGGCGGGCTTTATACGATGATGGACAGATGATCAACAGTAACTTAATCAACCACGTGACCAAAGCGCGCTTGGGTGACAACAACAATGGCTGCCGCTGGAGAGTTGAGGTGTGTAGATTCTGCTATTAGGTCTGTTCTAGAAGATATTGACAGCAAATTAATTTTAAAAGAGGAACAGAGAAATGCGATCAAGGCTCATCTTCTTATTATAGGCGTGCAACTGCACGCTTTGATTTTTGTTGACAACAACTATGTATCACTTAACATACGTCACGCACTCCGTTGCTCTTATTGGTTGCAGGTCTATCCAATTGAGTGCAGAGGCATTTTTTTTCCCTTGTTTGTTCAAAACACGCCCCATAATCACAGCTCTATGGAGCAGTATCAGACTCATATTCTGACTAGAATTGAGTAGGACTACGTCAGGCTAGTTGGAAGTCCCCATAAGATGCTCAAATATCAAGAGATTCATACCAAACTTGGGAATATTGAGTGATCTCAAAAGATAAATAACTGGTATAGCTTTGGCTTGGATTGTTTGAAAACTTTTTGAAAAACAGCAATTTCCTGTGAACACAAACTTTTGAAAAAATCAGAGTGACAGACTTTTAAGAAGAGCTGTGTTATGTTTACCACCAAAAAAGCAGCAATTAAATGAATGTATTATTTAATCCTAGCTCTTTTGGGCAAGTGGCTGAATTTTTTTTTTTTTGAAATATTTTTAGCAAATTATTCTCTTGTTTGATTCAAAATGGCCGACTTGCTGTTGGGGTTAGACCATGGCTCCAATTCAACTTTTTGTAGCTACTGGGCGTTTGTAGATGTGTGCCAAATTTTATAATCCTTGGAAAGAGCATTGCTCAGGGCTGAATGATTTTCTGTTCACATGGCCAAAGATTGCCTAAGAACGCAAACTTTTGCAAAATCAGAGTGACGGACTTTAAAGAAGGGCTTTGCCATTTTAACCAACTTACAAAAAGCTCTGAAAGGAACCCAGTTTGAAACTTTCAACTCAATTAAATAAAAGGCTGATTTATTTATTTATTTAAACGGATCAATCCTTTTTCAACAGGGTAAAAAACAATTCAAAATGGCCGATCTCCTGTAGGGTTTAGACCATGGCTCCAAGAGGTTTCTTTTTAGGGGCTGACAAAATAGAAATGTGTAAAAAGTTTCACGATTCTTGGACTAATCATGATTTGGGCCTGATTTTTTTAAAAAAAAGTGACTTCCTTCCCTCAGGGGGTGGGGCTTTGATGATGTCATCATTTCACCAGCCAGTATTGTAAAGCAACCAAAGGGCCTCATTTCTGTCAAAGTTGGTAGGATTTTTTTTTTTTTTTTTTGTAAAAGTTATTCCATTTCAAATTCCTCAAAAAGTAAATAATTCTTTTATCTCATATGTCTTATCTGTAAACACACCAAGTTTGAAGTCAAATATTCTTGGAGGAGATAATTAAAATTCGACGTGAACAAAATTGAAAAATTGCAAAAAATCGGCATTTGACCCAAAATGGCCGACTTCCTGTAGGTTTTAGAGCTTAATGCGTCATCTGCCACCGTCGTCATCACCATAGATATCCATAATAAAGGCCTTTATTATGGATATCTATGGTCATCACTGCCACTTGACTGAAACGGGGGAAGAAGAAAAAAAATACGGCAGAGCGAGCCAGCGCCGCAGGTGCAGTGTTGCCAACTCAGCAACTTTGTCGCTGATAATAAATAATAAATCAACACCTTGAAACTATCGCTAAAGTAATATTAAGTCTGACATGTACTCTGTGTTACCTGAAGATATGTATGTGGGGTTTCTGTATGGAAGTGAATCTCTAAGTACCTGGAGCCAAGCACCTGTAGTTGTTTGTGAGGGTGCACTTGTGCATGTAAAGTTTATCCATAGAAAAAAAGCTCAATAGTGGTTGTGGAGAGCTGGAGAGGCACCCCCCCCAGAGCACTGAGTCCAGCGCCAGGAGACCCAAAGCCCCAGGCGCCCAAAGGGACCTCAAGAGCGAAGGCACCAAGGAGGGGCCAGCCCCGGAAATCGGACCCCCACCAAGGGAGGAGGAGAGACAGCCCCCAAGAAGCCCCCAGCCACCGCCATGCCGGCGCCCCGGGGAGCCGCGGAGGTGAGTCCGCGGGCTCCGCCGGCAGCCAGCCACCCTGAAGTAGGGCCGGGCAGAGAACACCGGCCCCCCCACGGCACCGACCGAAACGCCCCGGCCCCACAGAGCGCCGAAACACGCCCCGCCCCCGCGACGCAGCCGCAAGCGCCGCGGAACCCCCCCAAACGGCTTCCCAGGCCAAAAGCGCGGCCCCACCCCACCAAGACAGACAGCAACAGCGCGCAACGCAACACACCGTGCACAGAACTGACCCAAGAGCAGAAAAGCCGCCCCACACCCGACCGCCAGAAGAGCAGACCGGCGCAAATTGATCACAATAATTAAAATAGCCTGCACGCCATCACCAAGCGCCGCCCTCTCAAACCACAACACAGAGCACATAAAGATGTCGAAGCAAGGAGAGGCGGAGGAAATTGTTCCAAAGAAGGGTTTTTGTAGTTTGCCAGTTTGGCAGTATTTCGGTTATGGCAAGTCGGACAAAAAACAAACCACAGTCATCTGGAAAATGTGTCGGGAACCAGTGAAAACGAAGTCTGGTAACACAACCAACCTTTTTTTATCATCTCAGCCGCTCACACCCGCAGGAGTACAAGCTGTGTAATCCCAGGCGCGGTTCTGCATTGCCTCCGAGGAATCTTCGAGAATTTCGGGATAATATAAATACATTTTCAGCTCTGGGAAGTTTCCCATGTAGTTCTAACAATCGAGAGAAAAATGCTGAGGGGCCAGAAACTTCAAAGTAATAACAGGTTAAAGCACGTTATTACTGTGCAGGAAGAATGCGGGTGGGGTGGGGGTGCGTCCATTTATTTATTTGTTATATTTATTTTGGTCACTTTTCTGGTCACTTTAGTTTATTCTTTGTCAGTATTTAATAACATAACTCAGGTTTCTTAATTTATTTTTCTTCAAAACAATTCTGTTATGGTTAAAAAAGTTGGTTAAATAAAGATTTAATTAGAAGTCATAAAAATGTCCAGGCAGAACTGCACATAAAATATGGTTTCAAATTTTTTCAATAATTATCGATATCTGTTAAATGTTAATATGTGACGCTCTTATTTTGATAGGGAATTTTGATAGGTTCAGCCAATCAATCACTTGTATGGGATAAGACGTGTGATGTAAGCACGCAAGACGGGCAGTTCGGCTCGGGCGTGAATAGGGAGAAGCCATGTTTAAGTTCAACTCTGTGATATTAATAAAATAAGAAAACTGTGAAACTCCGCTCATCTTTGTTACGTAGGTTAAATCTGCTGCTACCGGATAAAACCCTCAACATTATCGATCAATGTGCTTTTTTTTAATCGATAAGCCTTTTTTCTATATCGCCCAGCCCTAATATGTCACATTATATAAACCATGTAAATATCTGTCTTTGGAGGATGTGTTTTTTAGCACCCCTAGTTCTCTCATTTTTATTCCAAATACAATTTATAATTTGAATCACAGGGCTATTTTTATCTCTATGGTTAAGTATTTTCTCAAGTAGCAACTTTAACTGCTATACTTTCCTGTCTTAAAAGGCAGAACTCTTCTAGTCTAAAAAAAAACCTCATTTGTTGAAATGGGGGGACCTATTGTTTGAGCCCCTTAGGGGGTTTAAAAACAAAAATGCCTGTCTTTTTTTGAGTTTATGAAACAAAGTATATATTTTGATATTTTGTGGATGTACAGCTACATTTCTCATGTAAGTTTGCGTAGTTTTAACACAAACATTTATTTTTTATATTGCACCAGTACAATTAATGAGCAACCTGTACTTGTGTGCTTGTTTGTTCTGTCTAAAATGTTTATTTTGGAATAAAGAGGTTACTATACAAAATATTTTTTGTCAGATTCATTGATTAATCGAAAAAATAATCGGGCAATTCATCGATTTTTAAAATAATCGTTAGTTGCAGCACTTGTTCACTTACAACCTAATATTTAGCTACAGAAACCAAGCTAGCTACTTCTCATGACGTTACACTATCAAACTGATTATCAGAACGTAGATCTACATTTAAAGACTAGTTTTCAAAGTTTTGAGGTGGTCGCCTCACGTGATAGCTAAAGGTGTCCAGTAGTTGACAACAGTCAAACTGCATTTATCAAAAGTCTCTGGATGATGCAGTATCCTGTCCCTGTCATGATTTTAAATGAAAAGTCCCAAAATTGTCCTTTTTTGATGGTCGCTCCTAATAATATCTCATCAAATGATCGTGTAGAGACATTTGTTTTGATGTTATGATAGAAACAGACGTACAGATGCTTATTTTGCCAATGAATGTAAAACAAGATGGAATTTATTCCAAGAAGGTTAAGAGAGATATTTGGTTTGAATAAGTAGGTTTAGTTATTTTAAACTGGTTGTCTAAATCGAAATCAAGGATAGATGGTCATCCCACAGGATGTTCTAACACTTCAGATGGCAGTAAAACATCAATAATTGAAATGTTTGGAAAACTAAGGTTTGGTTTGTGTGCTGTGTTGGTTTTTCCAGACCGCCTGCAGGATTATGTTGGAAAAGAGGAGGATTTCTCTGACCAGCAGCTCTGTGGACAGGAGAGGAATTCCAGTTTGGACCAAGAGGAACCAGAAGCTCTGCAGATAAAAGAAGAGCAGCAAGAACCAGAACATCTCTGGACTAAAGAGGAAACCATGGAGCTCCTCATAATTCAGCATGAAGAGCAGCTTGTTCTGAAGCAGGAGACCGAAGACCGAATGGAGGAACCTTTCCAAGGTTTGACATTTGGAGAAATCTTTCCAAAAAAAGAACATTTCATGGATCACACGAGCACTCTCTCAGGTGAGAAGATAATGAATGTCTGTCCTGTTGAAAAAGCTTCTCTCAGAAATTAATTCTTGTTGCACACATCAGACTTCATACAGGTGAGAAACTATTTCCCTGTACTATTTGTTAACAAAAGGTTTACTGTAGAAAGTAATTTGACCAAACACACAAGAGATCATACTGGTGAGAAGCTGTTTGAATGTTTGTCTTTGGGAAAAACCTTTATCTTAAAATCTGGCCCTAATGAACACATGAGCATTCACACCGATGAGAAGCCTCTATTTGTAACTTACTCTAAAAGGTAAGTTAACTGAACACTAGGGCTGTCACAATAACCGCACCAATGAAATATGGCGATATCAAGAAGCTCACCGCGCTACAAAACCAGCCACCGCCATCACCGCATCTTGGGAAAACAGTTGAGAAGGAAACAATGGCAGCTGCACTGATATCAAAACCAAATGTTACTTCACTCCTTTGGGAGCATTTTGGTTTTCATCCAAAGGAAAAGGGGGAGCCTGACAATTTAAATAAAGCAGTTTGAAAAATCTGCGGCAAAACGGTTCAAGTAAAACATGGAAACACAACAAATTTAAGGGCTCATCTAGCTAGCTCCGAGCTGTTACGATGCGGCTACCGCCGCCTCCTGCCACACAGAGTCGTGGGGCGGCTCATGTCGGTGCCAGCCGACAGCTTGGAGTCGGCGAAGCCTTTGCTCGAGTCGCTAAGTACAGCAGAGACAGTGACGGACATAAACAGCCGTGGTTACACGGTACCGGGTTGAAGAAATGGTGCCATTTTCCACTGTGGAGAAACCTGCATTCCGGTCGCTCCTCCGAGCGCACCGTCCCAGAGGGTTTTCAGTGTCGCTTGAAATGTTGTCATCCCTCTCAGATCCTCTCAAACAGCATAAGGTTAACATGCCGGTTTTCCTTGCCCGCAACAAGGACATGGCTGAGCTTTAAATCACCGTCATTTGTTTGTGTGTGTGAATTAAGAATTATGGTGATTGTTACATTTAATTTTGTATTGGCATAATACATATACATCCGAAGATGCTTCTCTTTCATTCACCCTGAGTGAATGTAGCCTTGGCCAGGAGGAATCAATGTCATCAGGTGGCATCCACCGTTCACTGGCTGTTTCGACCCTGAACCACTACAGCCTCCCGGTGGTGGGTCGGCAGTGGTGGCCAAGTCACTGCCCATCTCCTCCTCCTGGCTTCCAGCTAACCTCCTCCCTCCTACTCCATAACCAGCATGAGGCTTTTTCCGCTGCCTCCCCCATCCTGCGAGCTGCAACCTTTCTTTCCCTCCCTCCCAATCCAATGGCTGTGAACATTCTCCATACAGACTGGGCCGGGAACCCTCGACAACCGACCTCGACTGGGAACAACCATGACTGCCATCCCTTCTCTCTGCATTCATTCAGAAGGTCTTGATACTTTCCACTTTTCCTTTCAAAGGCCTGTTCACACCCCTCTTCCCATGGGACAGTCAGTTCAATAAGCATGATCTTCTTCGCTTCTTCTGACCACAGTACCACATCTGGCCTCAGGGATGTCTGGACAAACTGTGGGAACTTCAACCTTCCGCCCAGGTCAACCTTTATTTCCCAGGATTGGGCCTTTTGCAGTAGACTAGATTTTGCTGTAACTGCAGTTGGTGGCTTTTCCCCTTCCCTTACGAACTGGATTGATGTTGACTTTGGATGTTTCTGCCGTTTCTTCTTCCTCTCCTGCTCTAGGGTGTTGGCAAGTGTCATGAGCACCTTGTCATGGCGCCACCTGTATCTTCCTTGGGCAAGTGCAATTTTACACCCAGACAGGATATGCGCCATGGTCCCTTTCTCCCCGCAGAGCTTGCACAGGGGGCTCTCAGATAGCCCCCACCTGTGCAAATTTGCTGGGGTCGGGAGTGTGTCATACACTGATCGCAGTAAGAAGGAGATACGAAATGGCTCCAGCCTCCAAAGCTCTGCCCAAGTGATCTTACGCTTGGGGAGGTCCCACTTGGTCCAGGCTCCTTGGGAAGATAGTGCCACAGCCTTTGACCTTCGCCCTTCCTCCTCCAAACTTCTAACCTCCTCCTGAATCATCACTTTTCTTTCCCTACTTCCTGCCTTGCTCCACTGTTGGAAATGGGATGTTCCAAGACCCTGTCTTCCTGTGCATGGTGCCCCAATGATGTCACGGATCTTCAGCATGCTTTCCGTCTGTGTGACCGTTACCTCAGCTCCCCACCCCCACCTCGGCCGGATCTCGTGACGATCCCTGCTTGTCTGACTTGATCATCGGGGGAGTCTCTGTAGGTCATGACGACTCTGCACTTAGCAACTTTAAACTCCTCCACCACGGATGTCAGAGGAAGTTGAAGTTGTCCTGATCTTATGTACAGGCCTACTGACGTGAAGCTTGGAGGAATCCCCAGCCACTTCCGGAGATACTTATTGACTTTCCTCTCCATCCCTTCCACGCTTGTCATTGGGGCTTCATACACAGTCAGTAACCATGTGAGCCTTGGCAGCAGCCCGTGTTGATAGAGCCACGCTTTAAATTTCCCTGGAAGTCCTGACTTTTCGATACTCCTCAACCATTCCTCTGTCTGCTTCTCTGTATTGACCATGTTGTTTCGGTCGGCCAGTGAGTTGTCAAACCACTTTCCGAGACACTTGATTGGGTTTTCCTCCACCGACGGGATCACTTTCTCTTGCACATACAGCCTAAACTTGTTGGTCACCTTCCCATTTCTGATCACCATGCTTCTGGATTTCTTTGGCTTGAACTTCAGTCTAGCCCATGTTGCCATTTGGTCCAGTGCTGTTAGCACCCATCTCGCTCCACATGGGTTCTGGTTGTCACTGTAAGGTCATCCATATAACCCCTTATTGAAGGTTGTTGGATGCCTGACTCCATCTTTGGGCCCTTTGCCTCCTTTGCTGCAGCTGTTATCAGCAAATTCATTCCCATGACAAAAAGGATTGGGGAGATTGTGCAGCCAGTCACAATTCCCTTTTCTAGGCTCTGCCAACGAGTTGTAAAATGGGCTGCCTTGAATCGCACCTGGATTCCACCGAAGTAGCTGGTGATCATTCCCTTGATGTGTTGAGGGATGTGGTAGTGGTCTAGTGCTGTATGGTTTAAGGCATGAGGGATAGATCCATAGGCATTGGCCAAATCCAGCCAGACTACTGTAAGGTTGCCGTTTCTGGACTTGGCCTCACGAATCATCTGAGTGAGAACACCTGTGTGCTCCAGACAACCAGAAAAGCCTGGAATTCCGCCTTTCTGGATAGCTGTGTTGATATACTTGTTCTCGATCATATAAGAGGTCATCCTCTTGGCCAATACAGAGAAGAAGATTTTACCTTCCACACTTAACAGTGATATTGTTCGAAATTGCTCAATGGTTAAGGAGTTCTCTTCCTTTGGTATGAAAAATCCTTCTGCCCTCTTCCAGCACGATGGAATGGTACCCTTTCTCCAAATTCTTCGGAACAACCTCCACATCCTCCGAAGAAGCATTGGGCACTTTTTATATGCTTTATAGGGTATGCCGCTTGGGCCGGGGGCAGAACCTGATCTGGCCTTCTTCACTACCTCCTGGACTTCTTTCCATGTTGGTTCATTGATATTGAGTTCCTTTTTTGGGGCCTCTACGCTGCTGATGGGTGGGTTACCTTCCAGGTTCTGATTCCTGAAGCTGTCACTGTGGGTCTCCTCCAGGAATGCCTCCACTTCCTCTCTCGGGCTGGTCAGCTTTCCAGATTTTGCCTCACCTAGAAGTGCTCTAGTGAATTGGAAAGGGTCTTTAATGAACTGTGCCCGCTTCTTCTCTCTGTCCCTCCTTTTCTTTCGTAAGCTCTCTGCTTTTCTGAGTCTGCTTAAACGATCCCGGATTTGACTTGTTAGGTCCTTGATGCCTTCCCTTTCCTCTGTTGGGGCATTTTTGAATTGTTTGGAGAGTGACTTGATTTCTCTCCTCATACGCTTGATTTCTCTTTCCCTTCTGCTAGGCTGCTGTACAGACTGACTTCCCACTTTCTTCTCCTCTACTCCAAACCGCTCCCTTGCCAAGTTGTAGGTTAATGTTGTGAGAGTGTTAACTTTCTGCTCGGCTGTCCCAGCCAGTGTGGCTTCTAGAATCTTGTCGAGGTCTTGATCTAGTTGGTTCCATTCCTGGTTATCACTCATCTTGAAATAAATCAATGAAAGCTTTAATATCGTTGCAGTCCACCTATTCCTATTAAAATCTCATTCACTGAAAAAGAATAATACACCTGCGTTATAGATTCTGAAATGCCTCGCATCAAAAAATACTGCACAAAATCAGTGCAATGCAATACCTCGGCTCCAGACGTCCCCCCCCCTCCACAGACGCTCCGCTGCTCCTCTCCCTCTCCTCAATTGTAGCTGACCGCAGACAGTGCCACAGACAGGAGGCCGGCTTGTTTTGTTTTTATCGAAATTGTGAAAAACAACTCTTGAAGTTTGACCCGCTAGAAGAGTGAGGTGCGCGAGAACGCTGGGACCCTTTTTCCACATGGATCTCAGCTCTTTTTGGCCCTCATGTCCCTCCGTCGTCGGACTAAACTCGTCCCCACTTCCTCACCGCCTCGGCCGTATCTAGACCCAAAATGTGTAGCACAGACCACGTTTCAATATTGAGAATAAATAAAAAAATGTCTGTGACAAGCTTACTGCGACACACTGCTGTAAGAGTATAACCAGGAAGCGAGGTAGAAAGGCAAAATAGGTTTAGCGCCACCGCAGCATGGGAGGGAGAATTACGTCCAGGAGCAAATGGATAAAAATAGACCAGAGGAAAAAAAAAACATGAATCGATACTCTTGCGGACGTATCAATGCACCGAAACGTGGGCTGTTAGATTGATGCATCGATACAAAACGATTGTTATTTACACCCCTAGTCCCTGGTGTCTCTAATGCCACGTTTGTGACTATGGAGCTGCCAATCACCAGAGTGGGCTTCTCAGTGGGTGTGTCACTGAGTGGGGAAAACCAGTTAGAAACGTGAACGGGTTGGTGGTGACCAGTGGGCAGAGATCCACAACTATGCTTTCTGCGTACAGTTACCCAATCGCCTGGCTGCTCAGGCACTTTTAGAGGACAGCTACATAGGGGGCCTACTTTAACTCCTGGATGTTCAACAGCCTGAAGCCTGGATTCTAAGTGACACCCTTGCCTCCAAAGCTACAAAAATACTACACTTATTACACATCCCATTATCACTAAAGGAGGCAGAGGAATAACTGAACGTCTGACAACTAGCACAGGAGAGAGGAGAGGAAGAAGGAAGAGTTGGAAAAGAGTCAAGCGATGCTAAGCTAGTGCTAGCTACTCCTTACTACCAGAAATAAAACCGTGTGAAACTGACAAATGCTCAGTAGAAAAGTGCAACAGAAAGCGCTATGTTTTAAAGTAGTTTTGATCAGTTAGTTACTTAGATACAGAGATATCACAGAAAAAACTAACTTTAGATGGAGATCGTCTGGACAGCTGCAACACTCAGTTAATCCAAACCATAAAACATCTTTGTTTTACTTCAGCCTTCTGCCTCTGATTGACATCTTGTTGTCATACACGTCTCTGCATTTTAATTGTTCAAAAGGAATATTTGGGTTTATCATTATTCTATTTTCATCCTTCAGGGTTTTTTCCAACCAAGATATAGCACACCAAACTCTATTAATCTCATGAAGGTGAGTCCAGTCTTGACATGACTTCATGAGATGAATGGAGTCTGGGGTTCTATTGCTTGGTTGGAAAGAAAACCTGCAGCCACATGGCTGTTTCTTGAACCAGTTAGAGAGCCCTGCTTTAATGGTTATAAATCTGCAGTTATTCAGATTTTGAAGCTTTAATGATAAAAGTGGAGGTCCAAACCTTGCCAGACAACAGGTCTTTTGTGATTGTGGTTTCAGAGCTGCAGTGCATGCTGGGAGATGTAGTTCCATTCTTTTTCTATGTAGTTGGATCAACACAAGGATAATTTAAGTGATGTGTCCTTTCACCAATAGAAACTCTTTCTGCTGGTTTTGTCTTTCAGACTGCCTTCAGGATTATGTTGTAAAAGTGGAAGATTTCTCTGACAAGCAGCTCTGTGAACAGAAAAGGAATTCCAGTTTGGACCAAGAGGAACCAGAACCTCTGCAGATAAAAGAAGAGCAGAAAGAACCAGAACATCCCTGGATAAAAGAGGAAGCCATGGAGCTCCCCATTAGTGAGCAGGAAGAGCAGCTTGTTCTGAAGCAGAAGATTGAAGATACAGGAGAGAAATCTTTCCCATGTTTAACATTTGGAGAGAACTTTCTGAAAAATGAACATTTAATTGATCACTTGAGAACTCAAACAGGTAAGAAGATTTATGAATGTCTTACCTGTGGAAAAATGTTCACAACGAAATATAATCTTCATACACACATGAGAATTCACATTGGTGATAAGCCTTTTAAATGCCTGTACTGTGGAAAATGCTTCATTCGGAAATCCAATCTTTATAGACACATCCGAATTCACTCAGGTGAGAAACCTTATTCCTGTCAAATTTGTAACAAGAAGTTAATTGACAAGAGTAATTTGATTTCTCACATGAGATTTCACACTGATGAGAAGCCCTTTTCCTGTACCATTTGTAACAAGAATTTTCTTCAAGAAAATAGTTTGACCAGACACATCAAAATTCACACTGGTGAGAAGCCCTTTCCCTGTACCATTTGTAACAAGAATTTTACTCAAAAGTTTAATTTGACTTCTCACATGAGAATTCATGCAGTTAAGAATCCCTTTCAATGTCTGTCCTGTGGAAAACACTCCACCTCTAAGTCTGATCTCAATAAACACATGAGCATTCATACAGGAGAGAAACCCTTTTCCTGTACCATTTGTAACAAGAAATTTAATCAAAAGAGTAAATTGACTTTTCACACGAGAATTCATACAGGTGAGAAGCCATTTTCCTGCACAATTTGTAACAAGAATTTTCCTCAAGAAAATAGTTTGACCAGACACATCAAAACTCACTCTGGTGAGAAGCCCTTTCCTTGTACCATTTGTAACAAGAATTTTACTCAAAAGTTTAATTTGACTTCTCACATGAGAATTCATGCAGCTAACAATCCCTTTCAATGCCTGTCCTGTGGAAAACACTTCACCTCTAAGTCTAATCTTGATAAACACATGATAACTCACACGGGTGAGAAGGCCTTTTCCTGTACCATTTGTGACAAGAAATTTACACTTAAAAGTAATATGACTAAACACATGATAACTCACACAGGTAAGAAGCTGTTCTCCTGAATAATTTGTGACAAAGGTTTTAAATGAGAAGGTAATTTGAGTATTCAGATTACATTTATTCATGCATGATGAATAAGTGTCTAACTGCTGTGACTGCCCTAACAGTCACAGCAGTTAGACACCAGAAGAATGAACACTAGAAGCATTTTCCATGTTTGACTAATGATAAAATGTCCATCTAGAAACTCCTTCACCTCATTACATGACAAACTCACAGGTTAATGGTCTTTTTCAAGCTAAGTTTTACGAAAGCCAGCTCTGTTTACATAGAAACTAGAACAGATAAGGTTTTATATTGTAAACCTGGTAAATATTCAGGTCCTGGACGAATATGTGGATGTGAACATTTGAGTTAATTATTTTGGGGCTGATAAAAATTGGATTTAAATGGCAAAAAAAGGAACGTTGCCCTAACAAAAAAGGTTGTTTACATTCACAATTTATTACTTTTTCTGTAATGAACGGAATGAACAAAATCGTTTTCAATAGCCACCTTGAAAGGGGGTGCTGGGATTATGGGGTTAAACTACGGGACATTAAAGAACTCAGTTTAGAGGCTGGAGTCTGTAGTTCAGGTAAATTGAAGTCCTTAAATGATGAAACATGTTTGTTTAAAAAGATAAACAGGATTGATGATGTTGATGTTATTTTTACTGATCAGTTTGAACCTGCTTTAACTTGGTAAAAAGCCTTTGTCTTAATAATGTATTAAGGAAATCTGACTCTCCTCTAGAAGTGTGAAGTTTCTGCTTTTTAAAGATTTTTGAAAGTATAATTTTCTTTTGAACTAATTCTAATAGTTTTGTTCTTGATTCTGTAGATGTTCTATTTACCTGCTATGATTGAAAGTAACTATCACCTATTTTATACAACTGATTTTATGGATTATATTCTGCTGTGGATGTTTTTAGTTATTGTAATCAAGCAATTGATGCACAAGCAGCAATAAAAACCTCATGGATTTTTAAAATGTGTTTATCTGGTTTCATATAAATTAGAAACAATCTTTTTCCATGTTTTCTCTGATATTTTCAGCCAAACTAAAGCTGTAAAATAAATAGTTTAATGGCATTCACCTTCTGTCTTCTCCAGTCTTTCCTGTTGCTCCTCCATCAGCATTAATCTGTTTGCTTTTTAGAGCCTGAGTTCAAATCTGGCCATTGGATAAATCCTCCTTTGCTTGTTGGAGAACTTAGATTAGGAAATAATGTAGGTACGTATTCTGGCCCAGTTGGTTTGGCACCTGATAAAACAAGTGTTTCAGTTGCTATAACTGTATGTGTCCAGAGCCGCTACAACCAAGCAACTAGAGGAATGAAGGATCTAACTATGGCTGTGTTCACAATGCAGCCTGAAGGGAACCTAATCTGATTTTTCTATTTATTAAAAATTATTACAAAGTGCTGTACTGAAAGTTCACATATGAACTCCAGCAAACATTTGGAGTCCAGTGGGAGGCTGAGTGCACCGTGTGCAAAGCTGGATCATTAGTTTCAGTGTCTAATAAAGGTGTTGGAGATCTCAAAGCTCACATGGACACTGAAAAACCATAAAAAGCTCTGAGAGGTGAGAGTTATCATGCAAAGCTGACTGAGTACTTTGTTAGACCTGGGAACATTTGTTGAAGCTGATTTTTTTTAATACAGAAGAGGTCATATTTAGAACATTATTTGATTTTATTTATCTATTTTAATAGAGAGCTATAATTTTCTTATATTGTTACTGCTTGTTACAGTTATTAACAGGTATTTAGGTATAATAAAGCTGTTTATTAACTTTTGAGAAGCCTGTCTGAATCCATCTGGAGGCTGGGCAAAGTGTCCTCTTTATGGAAATCTAAATATGCTCACCCTAATATATATACCTTTTCTAAAAGAATTAGTTCTGTAGTTCCCATTTTTAAGCCAACTGATGTTTGCAGGAGCTGTTTTGAACTAGACTACAGAGGGACGGCAGCAGTTTATGGATCATGTTACTTCATGTTTTTGAACTTTATTATGGAGATTCACTGAACCTCCTGATGAGTTTTTAGGCACAAGACACTACAATTTAAAATAAACTTTGGTTTAACTGCCATGTCTGCTTTTCACATTTTTAAAAAAATCATTAAATGATTATAATAAAAAGAAACAAAATCAGTTTTCTTGTATCTGGTGGGTCTTGGATCCGATTTAATTATATTACTGGCACTGTAGCATGCCGCCCCCGAGCAAGGATGAGACTTTACTGATGGGTTTATGGATTTTTAATTCCTTTATAATCATATTTCATAAACTGTAGTCTTTAAATCCACATATTACCACCATAAGAGCTGAAACACATAACAATTATACAGCTAATTTCACATTAAACCATTTTAAATGTTTCATCTTGTGCAAAAATAAACATTGGCAAATACTATTATACAAATTAATAACACACCTTTTGCCTCTTTGGAAGGGCTGCCAGGACTATTTAACGGTACTGTAGCTCCGTGTTTAACTTAATGCCGTACTTATGAGAGAACAAGGTAACTGCCACTACATTGTGTGGGACCGGAAATACAAAAGCTTAACAAAATAAAAGCACTTAGCTCAAACCGGAAGTTGTTGACATTGTGAGAAAAAGTGTGTAGAAAACCAATGAAACAAAACTCAACTCTGTTTGCTGCAAAAAGAAAAAGGTTACAAGCACTATGTCTACCCTGCTGTTTCAATGGGAAAAGGAACCATATTATCTTATCTATTTTTGGAAGAGATTGTGTCTGTAGGTGGTTGAGGGACAACGCCTGGGTCAACTGCTCTTTTCGAAAATCTAGGACGCGTCCTTAGAAGGCCAGATTCGAAGGACGATTAAGTCATAGCGCGGCGCCGAGGTCTGGTCGGATTCCAAGACTCCTTGTTATGCGGCCTTAAAATGCGTCTTTCTTTTTGCACGATTTGAACGACGGGTCCGATGTATCCACTATCCTTGGTTTACCCAGGATTCATTGCGAGACCAAGCAAGCCGACTGCTCTATGATCAGAGGTAATGTTACTTGGCGCCGAACAGTGGTGAAAATTGGAAGTTCAGTTTAATATAATCCTGTCTGTGAATAGCTCCGTCTGAAATGAATGAAAATAGTTGTTTTAATGGTTATTGAGTCAGATGTGTGGCGGTAATGTTTGATTTATCTAAAGGTTTTTATCTGTTACTGTGTAAATAGGTTTGGCTGTAATTTAAGGACAGATTCTAATATATCTGCAGTGTAGGGACTATAATTCTGATAGTTTAATTTTTTATACCTGTTTTGCACAATATGCTTAACTACGTATTTTTTGTTGTTGAATATTAGAGATTTTGCTGATATATTTTTATACATACATTGTTTAGATTTACTTATATTTTCTACCCTTTTATAGAATAGAATAGAAAATCCCTTTATTGTCCCACAATGGGCAAATTTACAGCAGATTATTGAAAATGGTCACACAAATGTGGACCTTAGAAAAATGTATAAGAATAACATAATAGGGAAGAGTTAAAATATAAACAATACAATTGTGTAAAGTGGTTTAACAATATAAAACTGGAGAATAAATAACCAATATGCAGCTATGGACATTATTACAGTAATGGATATTTGAAAATAGCAGCAACATCAGAGATGTGCAGAATGACAGCAGCAGGTTATTTAACTGACTAAGGTTTCTATCATTACATTTGATTTGTTCCTGCTCCTGGTGGTTGGAACATTTATTCCACTCTGGATTCTTGTGAGTGTAGTCTTTGTTCACTTTGTAATAAAAAATAAATAAATAAACAAACAGTTTTGAAAACGTCGGTTTTCATTCTTTTCTTGCTTTGTGAGTCAACATTCACGTTTCCGGTCCCTTTATTTTCACGGACTTTGGGGGATCCAGTCTAGGTAGACCGCGTCCTTGGAGGATGCAGCCCAGGTTTTCGAAGCCAACATTCTCATTAGATGAGAAGCCCTTGAAATATGGGTTCCCCTCCAACACAGTTCTGTGTCTCAGAGACAAGCTCCTCTGAGTCCATTTCACTGTCAACTCTTTACAGTAGACCCTCAACATGTTTTTTAACGTCTGATGAAACCTCTCTAGGGCTCCCTGCGACACTGGATGATAAGCAGAGGAAGTACAGTGTTTTATTGACAACTGCTGAAGCACCTGAGAGAACACCTTAGACATAAAGTTTGTTCCTAGGTCAGTCTGAACAACCTTTGCAAGACCAAACAGTGTGAATTTTCTGAGGGGAACAGCCTTTGGGAAATGTGTTGCCATACACATACTTCTCAGTAGATACTTATTTCCAGCATTGGTCTGTGGGAATGGACCCACACAATCAACCACAATGTGCTCAAATAGCTCCCCAATGACAGGAATGGGATGTAAAGGGGCCTTGGGAATCATCTGATTAGGTTTACCCAGAATTTGACAGACATGACAGGTTTTACAGTACTGGGCAACATCAGATTTTGTAACAATGGCCAATAGAAGTGTTTCCTTACTCTATCTAGAGTGTTCTTTACACCCATATGTCCTGCTAGACTATGGTCATGAGCAAGGCCAAGTATTTCAGAGCGATAAACCTCTGGGACAACAATTTGATAAACACTACTCCAATCATCCTCACAGGTTAGCTCTGGGGGAGTCCATTTTCTCATAAGAACACCATTACTAACAAAATAAGCACATGAGAGATCTTCAACCTCACTTTCAGGCACAGCATCCTCAAACATAGCAGACCAACTATCATCCTGTCTCTGGGCAGCTTTAAGTTCTTCGTGAGAGGGAAAACAGTCACCAAAACCAAAAGTTTCACACTTGGAAAGAAATGTATCTGAAAGATTAACCTCTGTGTCATTATGCTTAAAGGAATAGTACACCCAAAACATGATTAGCCTTCATTTTCTACTCACCTCCATGCTGAACAACACTCTGGAGTACTTTTTTGATATCTCAAATGCATCTGGAGATCTGGGAGACTTCTTGCTGTCTGCTGACATTCAAATAATGGAGGTCTATGGCGCCCGAGACAGAAAGGTCCACAAAAGTCCACAAAAACTTGTCAATATTCCTCCATACTGCTCGTCCAATGTAATCCAAGTGTCCTGAGTGGGTAGCATCCAGAATTTACTCGAAACGAAGTCATTTAGAACGTTTTAGAGCCTAAACAGTAGTGTATAGGATTTCCTAATAGCGCCCCCATGCGCGCTCACGATTCTACGGAAGCCGGCAGACCAAACCAGCGCATTCAGCTCGGCAAAGAACTCATGCTCTTCCTCAACACTGAAGTCCTCAGACATTTTTCTTTCGTTGTTTCTTTCTTTGCACAGGTAAACAGCACATTTCTTCTTCTACGCTTGCATTATCGGCAGACCAGACGCTGAATGCGCACTTCCTTCCGGTTTGGTCTGCCGGCTTCCGTAGAATCGTGAGCGCGCATGGGGGCGCTATTAGGAAATCCTATACACTACTGTTTATGCTCTAAAAACATTCTAAATGACTTCGTTTCGAGTAAATTCTGGATGCTACCCACTCAGGACACTTGGATTACATTGGACGAGCAGTATGGAGGAATATTGACACGTTTTTGTGGACTTTTATGGACCTTTCTGTCTCGGGCGCCATGGACCTCCATTATTTGAATGTCAGCAGACAGCAAGAAGCCTCCCAGATCTCCAGATGCATTTGAGATATCAAAAAAGTACTCCAGAGTGTTGTTCAGCATGGAGGTGAGTAGAAAATGAA